TCAGTCATTTCACTCATATCACGCGCACGCACGTGCACGCGTATGCGCGCAAAATGACCTTCGTTCCGCACACCTACACTACACACCTATTAACCCTAAAAAGGTTTTAGCTCAGTTGGGTGAACAGTTTCTGAGAACACTCGCAGACAAAAAAGTACCGGAGAAGAAATAAGAAGAAAAAAGAATAATAACTAGATACGATCTCGTTGCGAGCAACGAGTGGGTCTTCCGTCCGATTCTTGATAAGATAAGATGAGATTTTGATTGAGAATTTCATTCTAAAGTAATGATAAAGATTGTGAAGAAGAACGATTTTGCCTCCATAATCTGTAAACAGACATTGAACATTAAGACTTTAAACATCGACTTTTGGCCCCTCATGCACCCAGATATTAGGGATCAGCCCTTTTTTCTTCATATCATCTTAAAGCTCTCACGACATTTATGAAACACCAAAACACTTTCTAAAATCATATAACAATCAATACCAACAAATTCAACTCAAACATGCAAAAAATCAATCTACAACAAACTAAACACACTCACCGAATATTACACATTTACTAGATTCAAATTCTCCCGCACCGGAAGTGACGTCATCATTACCTTGACAACAACTGACCAATCAGAACAGTGTGTTACTACGCGGCACTATTTCCAACATATATATAACCTCCATACAACACTTCTCATACCACTTTCACGGCACATCTCAACACACACTTAAGTCCCATTTTCATATATTAAGGAGACATTCTACGGAACTTCAAATACTAAACAAAACATTTATGATAACACACTAATATTACTTAACATAACTCTACTCCATCAAATACTAAAAGAATATTCTAGAATTCCATCAAACATTTTTGCTTCAGTATTGTATAACAACATATTTACTGATAAAGAGTTATCAATTAAAGACTTTTGGCCCCTCTCGGCCCCTAATTTGAGTACCCAGCCCCTTTTTCTCGATCTCATCTTAAAGCTCTCAGGATTTTGAACACTTTTTGTTCAACAACTATTCAGAGATTTTTTTTCGTTTTCGAGTTATTTTTAAAAGAAATATTTAGGGGCCAACCCTTCAACTCCTTAATGGGGACGTTTAGCAAAAAATGAAAGGTTGCATATTATTCAGAACATTATTTTGAACATCTTTTGTTCAATATTACTTATTAAAATATTTCCGATTTTGAGATATAAAGCGTCAAAGATTTAGCATACTGGCCCCTTATGGCCCCTTATTATGCACCATACGACATTAAAATCATAATATATAGTTGTGGAATCTTGAGATAAACATTTTTGCTTCAATAATGTATAACAAAATATTGAATGCTAAAGAGGTATTAATTAAAGACTTTTGGCCCCTCTCGGCCCTTAATTTGAGTGCCCAGCCCCTTTTTCTTGATCTCGTCTTAAAGCTCTCAGGATTTTGAACACTTTTTGTTCAACTACTATTCAAATATTCTTTTTCGTTTTCGAGTTATTTGCAAAGGGAATTATAAGGGGCCAACCCTTCAACTCCTTAAAGGGGACGTATAGCGATAAATTAATGGTTGCATATTGTTTAGAACATTATTTTAAACATCTTTTGTTAAATATCACTTATCAAAATATTTCCCACTTTTGAGATATAAAGCATCAAAGATTTAGAATTCTGGCCCCTTGTGGCCCCTAATTATGTAACATACGACATTAAAATTATAATATATAGTTGTAAATTGTTGAGATTAACATTTTTGCTTCTGTAATGTCTAACAAAATATTGACTGTTTAAGAGTTATCGAAAAAAGACTTTTGGTCCCTTTTGGCCCCTAATGTGATGAGTCAGCACTTTTTTCTTGATGTCATATTAAAGAACTGGTCATTTTGCACAAATTTTGCTCAGTATGTTTTAACAAAATAATTATACTTTAAAAGATATAATGCAAAATGTCTCAAAAAATCAGTCATATTTCGTGTCCTAGATTTCGACCCCTACCGAGCTTCCATACTAAGCACTTCGGGAAGATTTGAAAGTATAGGTGCAAAACTACAATATGTTGTCTATTAGTCCTGAAAATGACAGCATTCTAGCTTTTTTCGTTTTTGAGTTTTTGTCCGGACAAAATGGTCACTAAAATTCGATTAAAGGGCGATAACTTCCGACCGGAAGTGAATTTTCAAAAAATAAAAAATATGAATAAGGCTTAGTTCATGATACATCATTTCTGAAAATTTCAAGTCAATCGACTCAAGCATCTCTGAGAAATCGTCTGCACAAAAATGTGTAAAGAAAAAAATAATAATAAAAGTGAAAAAGAAACAATAGAATAATAGAAGGGTCTTCCGCTGGAGACGGAAGACCCTAATAATAATAATAATAACTAGTGCTAATTGTAACGGGGACCGTTACAGATGTTCCCCAAACGCTCCCCAACTCCTTTTTGGTGCCATATTCCCTGTAAGCTTCATTAAATAAGACAAACTCTGTGCATTTTGACTTTAACAACGTTTTCTCAGAAGGTTACCAATTATATTCAAATTTTAGCATTGCACCCGTGCGCATGTGGATGCATGTGCGTTATGATCATATCATCTTGTCTACACTATCTACATATTTTAATATACAATATATTAAAGCATTCAGTCCAAAAGTATGAAAAATCACTCTTTCAAGTGTATTTTTCATTTCACTCGTTCCAAATGCACGCACGTGCGTGCACGTGCATGATGACCATACCTTCTTGAAGGAGTCCCTTATATCTATCTATATTCTAAATCCCATCCTGTTTGGTTGAAAAACAAGGGAGTTATAGCTTTTTCAAGTTTAAGCCAATCAGATTGCAGCACACGTGCATGCTCGTGATTTCATGATTGTTTTCTATATCATATTGTAGGATATCCTAATGCATGATAATGTTTTAAATTTCAAAGCATTTCGTCAAAAAACAAAGTAGATATAGCCATTTAAAGTTTCAGCCAATCAGATTGCAGCACGAGCGCATGCGCATGCTTTCATGAAAATTTTTATATATCATGCTGTAGATCTTCATAATGTAGGTCTATTTCAAAATTTCAAAGGATTATGACAAGAAACAAGAAAGATATTGAGGCTTTAGTTTCAGCCAATCAGAGCAAAGCGCACGTGCATGCGCGTGAGATCTTACTTTTTTGACCATGTCATTTTGTCTATGCTTCTAATATATACTTATAAAATGAGTTTCAAAGCATTTCATCAATAATTTAAATAGTTACGTCTGTATCAATTATATTGGACATTTCTCGTGTTGCACGTGCGAGCTCTTGCAAGCACATGTGCATGCACATGCTTTCATGATAAATCTTATATAACAGGCTGTAGATCTCCCTAATGTATGACTATGTTCAAAATTTCAAATGATTTAATCAAAAAACAAAAAAGATATTGAAACTTTAGTTTCAGCCAATCAGAGCGAAGCACACGTGCATGCGCGTGCGATCTTGCTATTTTGACCATGTCATCTTGTGCATGCTACTAATATATCCTTACATTATAAGTTTCAAAATATTTCGTCACAAAATAGAGAAGTTACGGTTATATCCATTATATATTGGTCATTTTAAGTTTTGCACGTGCGCGCTCTTGCAAGCACGTGCGCGCAAAATGACCTTGATTCCGCAAATCTACATAACATGCCTACTTACCCTAAAAAGGTTTCACCTAAGTCGGATGTGTAATTTACAAGATCACTCGCGGACAAAATTTTCCCAGGAAGAAAAATAAGAATAAGAATAATAATAATAAGAAACAGAGTAAAAACAATATGTTCCCCAACTTCGTTTGGGGAACATAATAATGTTTCATACAGACAACATCGCTCTAGTATCTATCCTAAATAGGAAGACGTCTAAATCTAAAAGAGTAATGGAATTAGTTCTCCATTCAATGGTTAACAATATGTATTTTAAAGCTAAACATATTTGTGGTTGCAATAATTCTATCGCTGATTCTATTTCCCGAAAACAGTGGGAAAGACTCCAGGCTCTCGCACCAGAAGCGGACAAAGATCCTGTACCCATCCCAGAAGATTTCACGAAGATGATATTAGAGCTGAAATAGAGTATTTAACGCTCAAGTCTGTTGCCCCTAACACGAAACTACAGTACTCAAATAGTTTAAAGATATTTTCTACTTTCAGGAATGACTATGGTTTAGAAGATATTTGGGGTCCTCCCCTATCTCACTTGTGTATTTTCATTGCTCACTTGTCCCTTCGAGATTTAGCGTACAGCACAATATCATCTTACTTATCGGGTATAAGTTTTAAATGCAAGTTGACAGGTTCCACTGATTATACTCAATGCTTTCTAGTTAGAAAATTATTAGAGGGTATAAAACGTTCCCGTAAGTCAGTTGATCGTAGGTTACCAATTACGGAAAAAATTTTGGAAAAGCTTATACCAAGCTCAAGTCTAGTATGCTCCTCCAATTTTGAAACATACCTATTTTGCTCTGCATTTTCATTAGCGTATCATGCCTTTTTGAGAGTCGGTGAATTTACATGCAATAAAACAAATGACAATCATCATGTTATAGGCATTAAAGATATAAAACTTTTATTCGATCAATCAGTAAAAAAGAAAATATTATTGTTAACAGTCCCTTATTCAAAGACTGATCAAACAGGAAATGGTTCAAGAATTCAATTGAACGAGTCACCTATGCCAGTTTTATGCCCCCTATTTCATTTACAAAGATATTTGTCCGTCAGACCAAAAATTAATTGCCCCCTTTTTGTTCACATAGACGGCAGTCCGCTTACCCGTTATCAATTTACTTCAGTACTTAATAAAGCCATAAATCTTTTAGGTCTTTCAAATTCACATTACACTTCTCACTCCTTCCCTATTGGGGCTGCCTCAGACAGTTTTACCAAAGGCCATTCTGAATCCGAGATCATGAAAAAAGGTAGATGGTATTCAAATGCTTATAAAACTTATATTAGAAATCAGTGAAATATATTTTATCACAATAGGGCAAGAAAAAAGTGTTTGGATAGTCGGCTCATCCATTATCAAGTGTCCTTTTCAACGAGCGAGCCTTTCCCCTGAAAAATCTCATTTGGGTCTTAGACGTCTTAATTATCACATCCTTTGGCAGGGCAAGGGTGGCCTAATTTGGAAAAAACTGTTTCCCCGCATTCAGCTACTACTAAGGTATGAACTATCACCTGATGTTTTAATTGTTCACTGTGGTGGTAATGATATAGGTAACGTACCCTTACTTGATCTACGCGTAATGATGAAAGAAACAATTCAAATGATTCAGTCTAAACCTCCAAATACTATCATGGGGTGGTCACATATTCTTCCAAGATCTTCATGGCGCTACAGTAAGAATGTTAAATCTCAAAATCTGGCAGTCAAAAGAATTAACAGTTTTATGAGCAAATTGTTTGTTGTTAATAATGGTTTTTATATAAGTTATCCCGAGATATCTTTGGATTCTAACGGATTATTCATTAAAGATGGTGTTCATCTTTCCGACCATGGCAATGACATATTCCTATATAATTTACAAAGTAAATTGCAACAAGTCTGCTCTTCCAATGGCGAACGTAGGTGCCGGTCAATTTAAGCGTCGCTCATCCTCCAATTTTTTTGGCGGTGGTTGTTCTCCCTTTGCTTGAACAACCATGAGGCGATATTTTGCGACGCTTTTGGCTTTCATAGATTTGATAGCATTATTATACTGAGTATCTGTTCCCAGTACCAGTTTAATTTTGTCTATCTTTTTCAATCATAAAGCCAATAATGTATAATGTATAATGTCATAATGTTCAATGTCATAATGTATAATGATGAAATGCATAATGTATGCATAATGAATAATGTTTAATGATGAAATACATAATGTATGCATAATGAATAATGTATATTCATTAATAATGGATGCCACAATGTTTGAATAATGCATAATGTTTTCTTTGAGGGCTTCACATTGGGACAGTGGTTAAAAACTATAAGCCCTCAAATTGTTTATGTGGCAGAATATTAATGTAATGCATATAATGTAATGTTTAATGTAATGTATAATGATTTGAGGGCTTGCCAATTTATCATCCGGCAGCCCTAAGGCCGTGGCCGCGTTCGCCAAAAACAAAAATAAATCCTATAAAACTTTACATTTCCCTTCATTGTCTATAATAATGACCCCTGGAGGAAGGGCGGGGCCACAATGGGGAATCAAAGTTTTACATAGAAATATATAGGAAAAACCTTTTAAAATCTTCTTCTCACAAACCACTGGGCCAGAAAAGCTGAAACGTATGTGGAAGCATCCTGGTATAATGTAGATTCTCAATTGTTCAAATAATGACCCCCGGGGGAAGGGTGGGGCCACAATGGGGAATCAAGGTTTTATTTAGAAATATATAGGAAAAATCTTTGAAAATCTTCTTCATAAGAACCACTGGGCCAGAAAAGCTGAAACTGATGTGGAAGCATCCTGGTATAGTGCAGATTCTAAATTGTTCACATCATGACCCCCGGAGGAAGGGCAGGGCCACAATGGGGAATCAAAGTTTTATATAGAAATATATAGGAAAAATCTTTGAAAATCTTCTTCTCAAGAACCACTGGGCCAGAAAAACTGAAACTTATGTGGAAGCATCCTGGTATAATTTAGATTCTAAATTGTTCAAATCATGACCTCCGGGGGAAGGGTGGGGCCACAATTGGGAATCAAAGTTTTACATAGAAATTATATAGGAAAAATCTTTGAAAATCTTCTTCATAAGAACCACTGGGCCAGAAAAGCTGAAACTTATGTGGAAGCATCCTGGTATAATGTAGATTCTAAATTGTTCAAATAATGACCCCCGGGGGAAGGGCGGGGCCACAATGGGGAATCAAAAGTTTTATATAGAAATATATAGGAAAAATCTTTGAAAATCTTCTTCTCAAGAAACACTGGGTCAGAAAAAGTTAAGCTTATGTGGAAGCATTCTGGGGTAGTGTAAATTCTAAATTGTAGGAATCATGACCCCCGGGGGAAGGGCAGAACCATTATAGGGAATAAAAGTTTTACATAGAAATATATAGGAAAAATCTTCTTCTCAGGAACCACTGGGCCAAAAAAGCTATGTGCCCATGGAAGGATCATGGGGTAGTGTAGATTTCAAAATGTCTAAATTATGATCAGTGGGGTAGGGTGGGGATGCATTATGTATAACGAGGGGGAAATCTGGTAAGAACAGAATGGTCAAAGCTTCTCAGGTGAGCGATGTGGCCCATGGGCCTCTTGTTTTAATTAGATTCATTAATCAATAAAAAAAAGTATATTGTTCAACATATAATAGCAAACATATCCCTCTTTTTAAAAAAATGTAATAATTTGTGAATTTTCTCTTGAAATATAAGTTTTATAGCTTTAATTATCAGTTATTTTATTATCATTTACCAATAGTTGAAAACAAGGCAGAAAATATTTGCCTATAAATAATAGAACCCCTTCCTTTCCTAACTATGTTACAGTAATGAAAAAGTAAAATAATTGCTAGTATGTTTTTGCAGAATGGGCCCGTATCAGCATTGCTCTTCAAAGAGAAGGTGATGAAATCCTGGCAGACAGGGCTGGCATCAGATGCTGATCTCAGACAAGCTTACACTGAGGTACCAAAATCTTCTCATTTCAGGTCATTTGTAACAAGTTTATCAAGAATAATTTTCTAAGTACAGTCTTCGCGAAAAAGAAAAATCATCACAGGACATTCGGACAGACAGTTAAACAATTTCACAGGACCAGACTAATTTTCACCGGTCCAAAACTTTTATCATATAATGTTCATAGCAATGTTTCTTTGAATCATATGAATCAATTAACAAATATCACATTAAAATATAACTGAAATATTTCTTTTTCCTCTGACGTTTACAGGTACATCCTATCGAAATATTTTAGAGGTTTTAAAACAATCAAGATCGACAAAACGTTTTTAATAATGTGTTTTGGTATTAGTTAAACGTCTATATGATGAAATGGACAATATAAAATTAAAAAACCAACCAAAACAAACCTTGGACAATCGGACCTATTTTACTAGTTTTTTACTGTTTTGTCCGACGGACCAGAGCTTTTGGCATAGACTGTAAGTATGGTGTTTATGAGCATTTTTAGGATTTTTCAACTGTTTTTGTTATCTCCCTTAGACTTTGATTATTACTTTATAATATCTATACATGTACTCGATAATGCAAAAAAATCCATTGTTAAACTGGAGCGATACTCCTTAGGACAATATCATCCAAGATAGAACAGTATTTGTGTAAAGTGGGGCTGCAACATGGGTTCAAAGATTTATTACTACCATGTCATTTCTTTTAATACAGTGTATTGCATGTAGCTAGGCTTCATATCCCAATATGCTGAAGTTGAAAGTTTTGGTAACATAAGCATATGAACCTACATGATGATTTCACATCCAAGAATTCTATTGTTGAAATTCTGGTCAAATATGTTATGGTCTATCCCACGACCGGAACGTCACTACTTTTTGCAAAATATCTCAAAATAAATAAATACCTTGGACTTCAACCTATATCCGATCAGTAGATTTATTTTTTTTCCAAACTTCCTGCATTTTTCCGAACCCTCGAGGTCAACCAGTGTAAACACACGACGGCAAATTCAAAGTCTACGTGGATTTTGCATTGTCAAAATGGCCACCGCTTCGGAAGGGGATCATCCATTGTTCGTAATTTTCCGTACATTGCCGTCAGTAAGGAATTTTTTACCACCTTTTAGTACAATACTTATGATTAACATTTTCAAAACCTTGGAAACCTAAAATATTGTTAAAATTTTATTAAAAATGGAAAATTTTGAATTCTGTTAAGAGAGCTAAAAAGCAACTTCCGGTAATGGAAAGAAATTCATTCAACCGTTAAATCACTGATTTGGCAAAGTAAAAGATGTCCTATCTTTTTTGGTACATAGTTATAATCTGTAAATAATTCTCACCCTAAAATTAGGGTGTTGCGTTTCTATTGACGGTGAGTATTTTATAACTTTGTTGCTCATTCTTTATCTGTTATTATTATATCAGTTTGGATATCTTTACTAGTCAAAAGCTCTCAAATAGAATGCAGAGTTTAAATTCCACAGTTTTAGGGGTTAAGTATAATAGATATCCGGTCATCGAGAAGTCTGCAGTGACCCTCATCACCATAGGTCAACTTTCCACCGTATTGATCGCACAGGTTATTTAAAAGACAAGGACCTACTTCTCGGGTATCCCTTAATACTCTATCTATAGTAAGGGATATCTTCCTATATCATTCATTGTGAGGGATGACCTGAGGAATGTCTCCTATTTTCTTATATGAGGGATTGGTGATGCAGAACTTTCCTTTCTCATTCATCATATGAGTTCGTTTTGAGTAGCTGCAGCACTATGAATTATAGTAGCAATTGAAAGCTCTGAGAAAACGTCATGTTCATTGCAGAAACTTTGGAATTAACAGGTTCCAGTCATCCCATAAAATGGAGAAGAGACATACAACTGACCAAAGACTAAAATCCCTAAATCTTTATCTTATTTACTGGGTAATTGAAACACTTAAAAATTACTCCAAACCCCTCTTCCTAATTTGAATGTCTTCAAGATACCAAATGCAGCAGACCAAATATATGCCATTTTCTTCAACTGATATTGAAATATGCAAGTTAAAAAGGAATTAAGAAACATATTTTATATAATGCGTTATAGAATAAACCCAAACTGTGTATGTAGATGAATGTTTCCTTGTATAATATTGATCTTACATGAAGAAATTTTTCTTCGCTTTATTAAATGATTAAGACTTAAAGACCTAAAATGTTTTTATTGGATCTACACTTGAGGCAGAATTTGATGTTGACACTTTTCATAACAGTACACATACCAAATCTTCTTTTAGCAAGGGATGTTCTTTTCTCTAATTTAAATCATACTCTCAAAAAGTAATCCAACTTGCATGTAAGCTTATAATAACTTAACTGAACATTTCAGTCTAAACCTTTATTTGTGTTACTGTGTAGAAACCGTAAATTTATCCTTAGCCATTTGACATGTGAACCTTAAACACTAATCAAGATTTTTTTTCCAAAAAAAAATTGTATTTTGGCATATTTTTTTTTCTTTTTGTATACCCTGCACCCGAAAGGCAATACAGCCAGAGCTTATAATGATAAATCTACACGTAACAATTCATTCAAATCTTAATTTTTATCGTATAAAAGATGTACAAGTATATTTTCTCCACTTGGCTATTTGGGTTCCATCCTGTTAACCTAATTCTCTAGATTTCTCCTTACTGAAGGGAAAATGGATAGACATTCAACAGTATTTTTTTTAATTTATCCCCTAGGTGCTTACTGCTGAATATGCTTCAGACAAATTGAACATCAAAACCTGGTTGAATAATCGTCCAATCTGATTAAAATTAAATCTTTGTTACGCTCCGAAATGTTGATGATCACTGTACGATTGAATTTATAATAATTTTTTTATTGTGATCTGTGGGTTTCTAAGTATTGTATGCTGCTGTACTGTTGGTTCATAATTATTTGCTGCTTTGGTTTTACAGTTATATGAAAACGTTTTAAATTCTGTGGATCTCTTTTTATATGCTGGGGTTCTATCGTTATATGCTGTGGGCATCATTTTGTAAGCCGAGGATTCATTTTTTGTTATTAAGTAGAAATAAAAAAAAATATATCATT